AAACAGCAGACGAGCTGAATGAGACGTAGATTCACTCTCTGCCAGCAGGTGGCGCTTAAAGCGTTTCCTTGGTTTCCGCTGTAAACAAAACAGCGCTGCACATATGAACTTTAATATGCTTTATACAGAGGCAAGATGAAAAGAAAAAATACCAACTTTTCTAAAGACAGTAAGTTCCCCTCAGACATACATTCATATAAACTCCTACCCCTAATTGAATCGCGATTTGTTTAGCATCTCAACCGATTTGAATCATCACGTATTTGAATCGATTTTCAACTGGCTTGCGGTAAATCGTTACATCCCTACTAAAAACCCATACAAGAGCTCATTTTATGAAAAGGCCACTCATATTGTGAAAAATTCCAAATCTATTTAATTTATGGAGTTTAGCTGTACTTCGAGCCTAGTGATAAATATTTGCCTCTCGTAACCTTGATGTTTATGCTTCTGATTAATGTATATAATCATGTTTTCCAAATACCACAAAACCCTTACAGGCAATCTCACTGTGATTAACTATATTATAAAATGCCCTTGAAACATCTTGAGAGATTCTTTCTTTGTTTTTCAGGTATCTGTATCTTTTGTTCTCCGACGACGACCATTTGCCCTTCGAACACTGGGTGTTCAACACGGAGGCCCATCCTCTTCCTGTCATTAAGAAACAGAACCCAGAAATAGCAAACCAACTCAAGTAATCTTCATCCAACCCCAAAGCGCCACTGAGACGTAACTTCCTGAACCTGCTTTAACAGTGGACAAGAGCTATGGACGCAGCCCCCCTGTGGCTGGAGAGTTCTTATCCTCCAGGACTTCTGCTGGAGCTTCACGTGTTTCTCCACAGCTGTCTCTTCTCGGGATTCTGCATGCTGCCCTGTCACCCTCTCTCTGTCCCTGATTCTGTGGACACGTCTCTCAGAGCCTCAGAGACCCAGAAGGAACATATTTCCTCTGTGAGGAGACCAAATCAGATCATTTTCCATCGTACTTGCCCTCTCACACACGTTATAAAGCCATAGGTAATTACATCAAATTGCATCAACGTCTGTTTGTGTTTTTTGCATCATGTGCATTTACAGGAGCGAAGCTAAGAGATATCCACTGAACATCGCCGTCTCTTGCTGTCTGTTTCTTTCGGGATGAGGTTTGGTTCGGTGTTTTGAGGCTTTATTCGACAGCAAGATAGTGAAACCAAGTCAACTAGTGCCTTTTAGTCTTACTGATCATTTTAGTCAAGTTTTAATATCGCTGTATTTATTTTCGCTGTGACCGAAGGTTTCTTCCTACTGGCCTACAGCCCTCCTACCCTCTTAATGGATGTAAGAATCAGTCATTTATCATTCATTCCTCTACATTTGTGAGCTTACTTTGTTTCTTAAAATGTGTACAAAATGTGTTTTGATTGTTTACTTAATCAATGGAGGAAGGACATGTAAAATAGAGTACTTTGTGTTAACTTATTACTCCAGACGTAGGGATTTTTTGTCTTTTTTCAGTGTGGAGGCCAGGAAACTACAGAGACTCTAAGAGGACACGATGATAGGAAAAAAATATGAGATGAGAGGAAAAATTTACAATTCAATGCATTAAAAACTATTGTGTTTTCCCGAGAAGTTTTACGTTCGCTCGCAAACACTGAAATTTAATTTTTCCTCCCACTTTATTTCCATCACAAGAATTTTGCAAGCAAATGCAAAAGATTTGTGAGCAAGCAGACAAGTTTTTTATGAGCAAATAATTCTCTATGGAACGCAGGTTTTGTGAGCGCAAACAAAAGTTTGGCGAACGAAAGCAAAAGTTTCTCTGTGGAACACAAAAGTTTCACGAGCTAACGGCAAGTTCTGCGAACAAGCGCAAAAGTTTCTCTGTGGAACGCTCAAGTTTCGCAAGGGAATGCCAAACTTTTTGTGAGAGAACTCTAAAGTTTTGAGAGCGAACACAACGTTTCGCTGTGGATTGCAAAAATTTTGCAAACAAATGTTTTGTGAGCAAATGCAAAAGTTTCACAAGTGAACGCAAAAGTTCCTCTGCGGAACGCACAAAGGTTTCGCGAACAAGTGCAAAAGTTTCACATTTTTGGGGGGGAATGCTGAATTTTGCGGGCGAACGCACAGTTTCTTGAAGGAACGCAAACGTTTTTGTGAGCGGACCCAATAAAACGCATCAGCATTGAAATATAATTTTTCCTCCTATCTAATCACCAGGTCCTTTTAGGAGCTTTGGAGTAAACCGCAATGAAGCTGCTCGAATCCATTGGAAAAGTGTTTTATTAGGACAACACGGGCAGCATCAGTCAAAAAGGGGAGTGAATATTTGTATGAATGTACCACCAAATGTGAATTGGACATACTTTGGCCTAAATGTTGTGATTTATCATTTTATCTGTTTGTTTGTTTGTTTGTTTGTTCATTTGATTTAACATGAAAGCACAAAGATGTGAATCAGTATATTCGGGTTCTCCGTGAAGAATAGGAATAGTATTCCTGTAGGACAGTGTGACAGCACAAGTGAGGAATTTCGATGGAAAAAGATGCAAACCAATGAATGCAAAGCAGTCCACGGCACTGGATACAACACACACACATACAAAAGAATCACATACACTAGATCTATTACACTTCACATAGCCACATTCCAATTCATAGAGGAACGGACCAATTCCCATCTCATTTGGGAATTTGACACCTTAAATTTGAGGCTTGAAAGGCAGGATTAAGGTCTGTTGTGGAGTGGGGCTGATGCTAGCGTCTACATTTAGACAGAGTTCCCAAAACTACACAAAACTAAACCACCCTACTTAACTAGCATGGTGTGGTGCTTTAACCAATGTATTATACTAGTAGATCTACGTGAAAAAAAATACCTCGCAGAGATTCCTCTCTTGAGGCCAGTGACTGCAACACTTGACATGGTATTTCTCCTCTGTATGTGTGCTAGTGAACGGCATACTGTCAGAGTTAGGAACCGCAACATATGAAAGTAACATCATCTTGAGGGAGGCCCGTCATAAAACACTGTGACACTGTAGATAAGACATCGCGCTCACTGTATTCATAATACTGCAAATTGAAACGATGTTTAGCACTGCCGCCGCATAGCGATTTGTGCTGTCTCTTTAGTGAAAGTGATTCCTCAAGCTGTGACTGAGGATCCGTAGCGACTCTTAGATGACATTCGGGAACAGACGTTTCCTCGCATCTGGTTGCGATACTCAGAATAGGAGATGTGCTTTTCAGATTAAGAATTTGTTGTTTAAATATTGTGTTGATCTTGAATAGAAAATGCCTTTTTTGTGATTCTTGTCCTTTATTTCTTCATGAGACAACCTCAGAAATGTAACTGTACAATATTGCTGATAATCATTCCATTGCACATAGTCTGATTTCTTTTGTTTTGTTTTGTTTTTTTTAATATATATGCAATTAATTTTGTGGTAAAGTGGTTGATATTTTTTTTTTTTTTTTTTTTTTTTATTGTACATATCTCATTCTGGCAAAATGCCAGCCATCATTTATATAAATCTTATGATCTTATGTAATAAATTATATTAAAGAGCAGCAAAGGTTTTTGATAAACTATATTTGTTACACTTCAATTGTGAATAAAACAATCTTTTAATATAATACCGAGTTGTTTTTAATAGGGATTTTTTTTTTTTAACTCCTTTTATTCAAATGCATCATTAAATTATACATTTTACAGTACATTCATGCTTAGGGGCGGATCTGACTCATACAAGGCTGACACTGCAAGAGAATAAACAACTGATTTTTTTTTCTTATTATTGTGTGACAGCCATAAAGATGCATCCAACAGGTCTGTTGGAATTAAAATTATATCCATAAATGTTATGCAACTAATGGTTACATCTATCTATAATTCTATCCATCTATTGTTCTACAGTATTTATCGTTCTATCTAAATATATATTCTATCTGTATATATGTCGTTCTTTCTATCTATAGTACTATTGTGCTATCATTCTGTCATTATGTCTACGTGCCGTTCTGTCTATAATTGTATCATTCTTTCTGTCGTTCTGTCTTTTTAACATTCTATAGCTCTATCATTCTATCAATCGTTCTGTCTATCGTATCGTTCTACCTATTGTTCGATATAGCTATCGTTCTGTCTATCATTGCTTTCTGTATATCATTATATCTATCATTCTGTCTTTCATTCTATCGTTCTATCATTCTTTGTTCTGTCTGTTTAACGTTCTATCTATCGTTCTGTTGTATCGTTCTACCTATTGTTCGATCCGTCTCTCATTGTACAGTTTTGCATATCATTCTATCTATTTAGCGTTCTGTATGTATAGTTCTATCATTCTATCTGTCATCCTGTCTTCTCTTTCTCTTCGTTCTGTCTATCAATAGTTCTGTCTTTCATGCTATCATTAAGTTTTCATTCTATTGTTCTGTCTATCATCCTGTCTATCATTCTATCATGTTATCTATATATCTGTCTGTAATTACAATCTAAACAGTGATTAATGCTGTTTAGACTCGTTTATGGCAGGATTAATAGGTGTATTCCTTTGATCTCATTTTTATCCATTTTTTCCATTTGCAGTTTAGAAAGTTTTGTATACAACTGGAACAGTTAGAGGACTATATATACAGTGGGTACGGAAAGTATTCAGACCCCCTTAAATTTTTCACTCTTTGTTATATTGCAGCCATTTGCTAAAATCATTTAAGTTAATTTTTTTCCCTCATTAATGTACACACAGCACCCCATATTGACAGAAAAACACAGAATTGTTGACATCTTTGCAGATTTATTAAAAAAGAAAAACAGAAATATCACATGGTCCTAAGTATTCAGACCATTTGCTGTGACACTCATATATTTAACTCAGGTGCTGTCCATTTCTTCTGATCATCCTTGAGATGGTTCTACACCATTTGAGTCCAGCTGTGTTTGATTATACTGATTGCACTTGATTAGGAAAGCCACACACCTGTCTATATAAGACCTTACAGCTCACAGTGCATGTCAGAGCAAATGAGAATCATGAGGTCAAAGGAACCGCCTGAAGAGCTCAGAGACAGAATTATGGCAAGGCACAGATCTGGCCAAGGTTACAAAAAAATTTCTGCTGCACTTAAGGTTCCTAAGAGCACAGTGGCCTCCATAATACTTAAATGGAAGACGTTTGGGACGACCAGAACCCTTCCTAGAGCTGGCCATCCGGCCAAACTGAGCTATCGGGGGAGAAGAGCCTTGGTGAGAGAGGTAAAGAAGAACCCAAAGATCACTGTGGCTGAGCTCCAGAGATGCAGTCGGGAGATGGGAGAAAGTTGTAGAAAGTCAACCATCACTGCAGCCCTCCACCAGTCAGGGCTTTATGGCAGAGTGGCCCGACGGAAGCCTCTCCTCAGTGCAAGACACATGAAAACCCGCATGGAGTTTGCTAAAAAACACCTGAAGGACTCCAAGATGGTGAGAAATAAGATTCTCTGGTCTGATGAGACCAAGATAGAACTTTTTGGCCTTAATTCTAAGCGGTATGTGTGGAGAAAACCAGGCACTGCTCATCACCTGTCCAATACAGTCCCAACAGTGAAGCATGGTGGTGGCAGCATCATGCTGTGGGGGTGTTTTTCAGCTGCAGGGACAGGACGACTGGTTGCAATCGAGGGAAAGATGAATGCAGCCAAGTACAGGGATATCCTGGACGAAAACCTTCTCCAGAGTGCTCAAGACCTCAGACTGGGCCGAAGGTTTACCTTCCAACAAGACAATGACCCTAAGCACACAGCTAAAATAACGAAGGAGTGACTTCACAACAACTCTGTGACTGTTCTTGAATGGCCCAGCCAGAGCCCTGACTTAAACCCAATTGAGCATCTCTGGAGAGACCTAAAAATGGCTGTCCACCAACGTTTACCATCCAACCTGACAGAACTGGAGAGGATCTGCAAGGAGGAATGGCAGAGGATCCCCAAATCCAGGTGTGAAAAACTTGTTGCATCTTTCCCAAAAAGACTCATGGCTGTATTAGATCAAAAGGGTGCTTCTACTAAATACTGAGCAAAGGGTCTGAATACTTAGGACCATATGATATTTCAGTTTTTCTTTTTTAATAAATCTGCAAAAATGTCAACAATTCTGTGTTTTTCTGTCAATATGGGGTGCTGTGTGTACATTAATGAGGAAAAAAAATTAACTTAAATGATTTTAGCAAATGGCTGCAATATAACAAAGTGAAAAATTTAAGGGGGTCTGAATACTTTCCGTACCCATTATATATATATATATATATATATATAGCCATAGTGGATTCATAAATAAACTATGATAACAAAAAGGTATGAATGTACCCTATTAATAAAACAACTGGACAACCACAGGAAGAGACCGGTTTTAGCAATTTTAAAGCAACAAAGTGAGACAGTTGAAGCAGAATAGGAAGAAAGAAAATGCAATAGCAAATGCAAAAATGCAATAGAAAGTGCAATAGGTAAAGTAAAAATTAAACAGACAAAAGTGAGAAAGAATAGGAAATATCGATAGAAAAGAAATAGAAACAGATTTGCTGTTCACTCAGAAAATTAGAGGAAATTATGTCACAAGACATAATAAAGCTGTTCAGCCACAATGTCAATTTGTAGGCCGACACAAAAAGCTAATTAGCCATGGGTTCCCTCGGGAGCTTCTAATGGGCTTTCAGAATAGCTTAGATAAATAATAATTAAAAAATGATGTATTTAGCACGTTACATATGCATATGTTAATTATTTTTATAAAACAAGTCTCTTCAAATAATATTAACCACAGACCTTAATTTCCTGTCATGAATGATGCAGAGCTTTTGAGCTTTTGTTAATTGTGTTCTTGGTTAGCACTTCACATTACAGTGTTCATGTTACACATATTGGACAATGAATCTAATTAATTACAACAGCAATGTGTAATTGCAAGCTGCTCCACAAACTAATTGCATATTAAGAACATGATTTTCATTAGTGTTTCTCATTATTCACATAATTACTTACATGGTAACATGAACACTATGATGTTAAGTATGATTGTATTTTGTTCACTTTTTTTTTTTTGACTTGCTCTGTCTTTCTGCAAAAACAAACCACTCATCACACGGCCAAGTCCAATTCTAATGACAGTGCATGTGAGCAGCGCGAGGCCTGAGGTGTACAGGAGATCACGGGTCACAGCTGTGTGCCAGCGCTGAGTGTTTACAGAAGCACAGCAAACACAGGAAATGACAATCTAGTCTATCTTTCATTATGTCTCTCTCTCGCCTGGGGAGAAATCTGAATGGAAGGTATTGTTCTTTTCTGTGACAGCAAAGGACAAATAATACAGCAGGTGGTCGCTCCCTTCACCCTGTTTGTCTTATACACACACCGGCCATTCATAAGGTCTTCAATTAGGATGTAAAGTTCACATAGGGCTAGCTACTAGTTCTCCTTAAAGTAGCATGAACTTTACCTATATTAATTAACCAAAGAGCAGTCAAAATCTGTAAACAGAAATAGTGCTGTAAAAACAATTTTAAAAGTATAGTTTACCCAAACATGAAAATTGTCATTTACTCACCCTCAAGTTGTTCCAAAAGCATATGTGTTTCTTTCATCTGTTGAACACAAAAGATATTTTGAAGAACGTTGGTAACCAAACAGTTGCTGGTCCCCTTTGACTTCCATAGTATAGGGAAAAAATACTAGGGAAGTCAATGAGCACCAGCAACTGTTTGCTTATTCACATTCTTCAAAATATTTTATTCTGTGTTCAGCAGATACAAAAAGAAATCCATACAGGTTTGGAACACAAGGGTGATTAAATGATGACAGAATTTCATTTTCAGGTAAACTATTCCTTTAA